AGTGGTGAGTGGCTTCACACAATCCGAGACAAAACAATTGCCTCATCACTTCCTAGGAACAGAACACGGCCTATTACGCTTCCGCTGCGCCACTCTGATATCAAACCACAACTAATCTTAAGAAGCAGAACACTAGCTACTTAACAGGGTTTACCATGAAATGAGCTACTAGAGGCTGGGGTGATATGGGAAGCACAACGAATAAAAATAAATCCTGCCAAAGCCACAAAAGAACAATTGTGGGGTTACGCTTCGAACCCATCACAAGACAAGTTGACAAAGAATGGCATGGATTTACAGACGAGTACAACAAAACTTTGAACTCTTTTCAAAGACGGATAAGCATCCAATGAATATATGGATCATGAATGAATGAACAAATGCATGGATGCCTTACAATTTCTGCCACAACAAGGTTAACCAATAAGTAAGGTCATATTTAACCAAGCAATTGGAATCAAGAAACTGATTTTAGCAATTAACAAGAGTTAAAAGCTAGGACAATCAAAAGACATGTAAGAATCTCAAGAATTGCAACAGAATAAAATCAATAGAAAATATGAATGCTTGGAAGAATATCGGAACACAAGAGTGCAAGGTAGAATGCCTCAAAAATTCAGCACAAAATGGCATTCACCGAGAATCAAAGATCAAATTTAACCAAGCAGTCAAAATTGAGAGACAAAAGTTAACCATGAAACAGGCAATAGAATTCAAGAACTAGGCTCACAAAAGAGATTTCAATAATGACAATGAGAACAAGAATTCAAGAGCAGATATAATCTAGAGATCAAGATCTAGCACCTCAAGTACTAGAATTAATTAACAGAACAAAGCAATAACTGGGATCAAGATGCTTAGAAGATTCATGTCTTCCAATTAAAAGGGCAAACAAAAATCCAAGCAGCTAGATAAAAGAATCATTTCTCTTGCAACAAAACTCTAGGGCATTAGGTACTTCAAAGATTACCCCTTCACCTCGTAGCTCATGGAGGCAAGGCTAAGCAGATTTACAATCAAATCATTCTAGAGTCAAGTCAAAGTTAAGGCATCAAGAATACAGAGATTAACACTTGCAAGAGACAAGAATTTAGAATACCTCATATAGGTATCTTCTGATAATCGTCACCCCTCCTAAAGAGGTGTCCATATGAACAAAAACCAAGAATCAAGAAGATCAACAGGTATACTGAAACAAGAACTAGCAGAATATTCAAGATTCAAGCAAGAGCAGTATACAAAATTTGAACAAGAGCAGAGTCAGAACAAGAACGTTTCCAAGGACAACTCAAACTAGATTCCAAGAACAATGCAAGAATTAATTCCAGACAAAAATCAAGATAATGAGGATTTCAATAATCATTATCCATTTCTGGATTTCAGTTTCAAGAACAAGTACAAAGCAATCTCAAGAAAGATTCAAGATGATTCAAGAGTTTCAAGCAATTTCAGGTATCAAGAATGTAGAGATTGGCAACACTAGAGAGTTTAACTTTATGACAGCTTGCCAATCTTCACAAAAGACAACAATTTCAATTGAATGATCACTGCTCTTGCTTAACCAATATAGACAAATGAGCCACATGAAAAGACCATGAAGCTCCAAATGAAAAAAAGTGAAACTTCACTACAAGACTTTCAGAAGATAAGGAGCAACGGAATTACCAAGTAATCCAGCTCCTAAAACGCATCTAGAAAAACACACAACATTGCTAAAATAGCCCTCAATCTCTTACAAACTCGAGGGTTGCCCACCCTCCACTGGTCATGTGACAAACAGAACAAATTCTCCACCAGCTATGTGGTAGAGACCAACAGGATCAATAACAAAAGTCTCTGCAACTCCCCAGATTTCACAATAGTGGCAAAAGAGCATACAAAATTCTATTCACGCAACAAGTCTAAACAAGTGCAGACTATCAGAAATGACCAAGTTTCAAAACAAGGTCTTCAGGACATAACGGGCAAGATTACTTTCACAACTTCACACAGAGTATGAAGGCAAAAAACAAGAACAATCAGATCACCATCTCATCGAAATGGATGAGAAAATTCAGGCAACATGAATCAGAATCGTCCCTTATATAACCCCATCACTCGTCTCACCACGGTTCTAAAATCCACTGGCTAGCCAAGTCCAAAACAAATCCTAGGTATTCAATTAAACCTAGGCTCGATATCACTCAATCTGCTCTAATGCCACTCAATCTGGAAGTGCTTAATTTAATCTTAAACTCTTAATTTCAATCTAAACTCTGATACCACTCAATCTCCAGATATCTAATTTAACCTAAGCTCTGATACCACAAAATCTGTCACGCCCCAGAACCCAAATCCGGGGACGTGGCAGACGCCGTGCACTCGTGAGACGGGTCCCACAAATGCACAAGGCTCGGAACTTATCACA